CATGTGCCCTATGTCAAAACCCTAAAAAACAAAAAACAAACAAACAAAACACCCAAGTTTGGTGGGCCGGACATGGCGCAGCCACCAGGCAGACACAATGTTCTGCAAAGCTGACCCCGTGGGGAGGCTCTGGGGCTTGAGCACATCCTTGATCTGTGCTGGCTGAGACTGAGAGGGTCACAGTGGTGGGACCTGCTGGAGTACTGACTGACTCTCCCTTTCTCATAAAACAAAGAAATAAACTACTTAGAAAAGAAAGAAAGGAAGAAAGGGCATGGAAACTGCTTTTTCCCTGGTGCATCTAGATGAGAACTCAGGTGACAAGGCAGGAGAAAGCTAGCAAATGGAGGTGGGTAAGGGAGCTGGTAGAAAAACCGATCAGGGCAGAAAATTCCCGGCCCAAGGTAATGTAGAAATATCTGACAAGGTCTTAATTAAAGAACAATCAGTCGGCCCAGCCAATGATCAGTCAACATGGCCTAGACCTAGGGGCGTGTCTAGCTGAGTAAACCGCATTTGATACAGCCAATGAGATGAAGCAGTGGGCCCAGCCATATTGGATAGAGCCAATGAGAAATCAGTGGGCCCAGCCACATTTGATATAGCCAATGAGATGAGAACAATCAGTGGGCCCAGCCAATGATCAGTCAACACGACCTAGATTAAAAACGATAAACCTTGTAGAATACAACTGCCAGGGCCTTTTGAGCCACTCTTCCTGTCCGCTCAGGCTGCTCCTGTCTCTCAGGAGTGTACTTTCACTTTTACTTAATAAAACTACCCTTTCCTTTCACTATTGGCGTGTTTCACTCAATTCCTTGTTTTACCAAGAACCTGGATGTCACCACAGAAGCCATCCCGCAACAGTGACAGCCTGGCTTGGTTTCCACTTTGTGTGTAGTACCCAGGACGCCATGCAGACTGCCAACCTATAGCACTGTGACCGGCAGATGGGTGTGGTTTAAGCCACTGCATTTATGGCCATCCATTACACAGCAGTGGAGAGCCAGTGCTGGTGAGAGGGCCACCAGATCAACAAGAGCCTGAAGGCCAGAGACCTGGTCTGGCCATCGCTCAGAGCAGCACCTTCCTCTCACTGGAGAATGTTTTCATTTGTTCTAGTCTCAGCATTGCAACGACTGGGTTGTTGGGAAAGTCATGACACATTTTTACATAGAAAAATACGTCACGACTTTTCCAATGACCCAATAGCAGAGAAACATTAGTGTCAACAAGCAAGGTCATTCCAAGGAGGAAGTGCACTGACGACAATAAAGCACGCAGGTATGGCAGACTGCAGGGGTAGGGAGGGGTAGCTTTGGGTCTGAACAGTCATCTCTGTTGGGGTGACTTTCAGCTGGGATCCTGACTGTGCCAAGTAGCCAATCTTGGGAAAGCCGGAGTCGAGCATCCTGGGTGGAGATGATGCTTTGGGAATGAGGGAAGGACTGAGTGGAGAAGAAACTTGTAGAACAACCATTGGGCTCTTCTTTTCTTTAAAATAAAAAATATAGACTGCTTCATGAATTCATGGGCCATCCTTGTGCAGGGACCACACTAATCTGGTCTGTGTCACTCCAACTATAATTGACATGCTGCCAATCAGAGCTGAGGTCGCTGGGCACTAAATGGTGCTGGGCCTAGAGCGGGGCAGTGACAATGGAATATCCAGGACGTCTACTATGGAGACGACGTGGCTAAGACTTACTGGTGGGTCTGGCCTGGTGAACCACTGAGTGGGAAATGATACCATTTCACTAGGCAGAGGTCAGGAATGGGCTGGCACCATGGCCTGGTGGCTAAGGGAATTGTCTTTGCCTCACTGCTTATTAATATAATAGAGCCTGTCAGTGAGCACGACCCAGCCTGCTTACAGGTGTACAGACCTGGGTGCTGTGGGTGACGTCAACTGAACAAGAGTAATCCCAGCTCTTACGGAACAAAGAAGATATGTTTGACCTAATGATTTTTTTAACATATGCAAAGCAAGGAGTTATGAAAATAAACCTGAAAATCAAGTTATAAAAAACTTAAATAGAAAGTATATTAGTGGTTGCTAGGACTCAGGATGGAGTGACTGCTAAAGGGGATGGAGTTTCTTTTGGGGCTGATGAAAATAAAATTGTGGTGATGGTTACATAACTGAGTACACTATTAAATAGGAGTCATTACACAGTACATTAAAATACGGCAGGTGAATTTTATGGTATGCTAATTATATCTCAAAACCATTAAAAGGAAATGCTAATGGATTTGGATAAATTTCTATTTCTTTCATGTATGGCATTTATTTTCAATGTTCTTTTTTTGAGATTTTGTGTTACAGGGCACGTGCACTCACCAGAGACAGAGACAGAAAGCAAGAAATTACGGATTCTGTGATGCCGCAATCCCTTCTCCATTCTCCTTTCAGGATTCTGGGCATGCACACACACATGCTTTGTGTGATTTTTAAGCTGCTGGGTCTGGGACTCAAACTTGATTTGACTACGTGGGAGTCCAATGACATAACCATAATCCCAAGAGATTTTTGCTATAGTGTGCATATGCTCACCAGAGAGACAAAAAACAAGAAATCATCCCCCAGGGGATATGCCCATGCTGGAATCCCTTTTCTTCCATTCTCCTCCTGGGAGTTTGCACACACATGCATATGAGCCCTGTGTGATTTTCAAGCCACTCGGCCTGGGACTTGGCATTGGAGTCCACCACTGTAACCACCATGCCACCTGCTGGCCCCTATTTTCACTTTTATTTTACAAACACTTAAATGGCACTTACCATGCATTGGGCACTGGGTTCCAAATAAATTACAAGTATGAATGAGTTTAATCCCCCTAGTAACTATAAATAGATACTATTGCTATCTCTATTTTACATAAATCCCCCTAGTAACTATAAATAGATACTATTGCTATCTCTATTTTATATAAATCCCCTTAGTATCTATAAATAGATACTATTGCTATCTCTATTTTACATAGCCACAGAGATTAAGTAACCTACCTAGCCATTTAGCTAAAAACGGCAGTCAGAATTTGAACCTGCCAGCCTGGCTCTAGAATCTGTGATCTTCAGGCCTCTATTATGCTATCTTTCCCAATGACACTTACAGTTTCTTTTGTTTGTTTTTAAAGAGAGATTTTTGTTATAGGTGCATGGGCTCACCAGAGAGACAAAGACAGAGAGAACTCTCCCCGGGGGGCAGGGGTATGGCCACGCCACAATCCTCCTCCATTCTTCTCTTGGGAGCTTGGGTATGCACACACACGTGCACAGATGGCATTTTAAGTCAGCAGGCCTGGGACTGGAACTGTGCTTGACTATGTGGGAGTCCAGCAGCATAACCATTACGCCATCTGCTGGTCCCAAGGATCTGGAATTTCAAGACAGAGCTTAGGTGAGTATCCCTATTTATACTGCTGCATATAAATATGTAGCAATACCTAATAGGCCAGGCGCTGCTCTGGTTACGGGTAGGAGTATGGACACATGACATACAGTCCATGAACTCAGCCTGAGATTCAATATGGTGCTGGCATTTGAGCCTCTAACACTTTATGGGCAGAGAGTTAAATGGTACTGTTTGACTTACAAAGTATAGCATAAAAGGATGTATGTATTAAAACAAAGCGTGATAACCCCAAAATGATGAGAATCTGAACTTGGGCAGGAAAAATGAAAACAGAATAAATTTTATTTTTAAAGTTTGCTATAGGGTACGTGTGTTTGCTGGAGAGAGACAGAGATAGGGAGAGGGAGAGAGAGTGTGAAAACCTCCGGGGGATGACAACACCGCAATCCTTTCTCCTCCACGCTCCATTCAGGATTTTGTGCACATATGCACATGTGCCTAATGTGTTTTTCTTTTAAGAGAGATGTTTGCTATAGGGTGCATGCACTTGCTGGAGAGACAGAGAGAAAGTGAGAAATCACCTCCTGGGGGGGGGGATAACCACTCCACGATCTCTTCTCCATTCTCCTCTTGGGATATTGGGCATGCATGCACACATGCCTGGTGTGTTTCAAGCCTCCAGGTCTGAAACTCAAACTGTGGTTGGCCACGTGGGAGTCCAGTGCCTTAACCATTATGCCGCCTGTCAGCCCCACCCAATATGTTTTTCAAGTCATCAGGTCCAGGACTCAATACTGCTGACAGATATATGAATCCAGACAACTTCACCATACTACCTGGCTGACCCCCAAACAATGAATTTTAAATAAAATTATTTCAGAATTAGAAATGTAGAAGTTACAGGCAGGCAGGTGATGTGGTGGCTAAGGTGCTGGACTCCCACATGGCTGACCACAGTTCAAGTCCTTGACTGGTGGCTAGCTTGCTTTCTCTCTCTCTCTGGTCAAACTGAATAATAATAAATAAAATTAAAGAATTCTTTAAAAAATATTTTTAAAAATGTTGAGGTTAGATACTGAATGTGGAGGCCCGATAGAAATGGATTGAAGTAGACTCCACAGGTCAAGGCTGTGACTATGCAGTTACATTATTACCTAAGTAAAAAGCGCAGTAGAATGTTGAGTTCAGTTAAGGAATTTAGTGGTAGACATGCACAATCTGGGGGCTGGGAAAGAATCCTGGTGACATTCCAATAGGCAGTAAGAAATTCTGGGTCTGGAGGCCAGAGAAGATTCTATTTCTGAAAAAGTAAAAGTAACTTTGGAAATCCCTTTTGATTTGAAGTACTATGTGCGGTTATTGTAAGTAATGACACTGTCCCTAAAATGAGAGCTAAATTAGTCAGGCAACGGAGAGTAGCAGTACTACCATAGCAACAGATCTCGGAAACCGACCTTCACTCCCTTTGCTATGGGGTGCATGCACTTGCTAGAGAGAGACAGAGGGAAAGTGACAAACCACCACCAAGAGGGATGGCCACCAGCAATTCCTTCTCCATTCACCTCGATGATTTGGGGCACGCATGTTTTTCAAGCCCCAGACCCAACTGCTGGCAGTCGGTCACGTGGGTCCAGGCGCCTTCGCCACCACCACCCCGGCTGCGCTGCCCAGGGAACCTGGACCTTTAATTAGCTCTCCTTCAATCTAATAGTTTAATACGAGAATGCAAGCACTGCTTTGTAAGGAATGTGGCCGCTGCGTTCCAATTTCAAAAGGCCTCGTGTGACTGCAGTTAGCCTATTCTTTTCGTTTAAAGTCGCCATCCAACTAAGCTAAGAAGTCTCAAGTCTTCAGATCTAGACAACAGAAAGGCAGTTTCCTAGGTAACTGGCAGAGAAAACTTTCTGAAGACGGTACGTGCGTGAGCAGCTGTGTCTTGTCAATACCGACCGTCCTCTCCCGTGCTTACACCCAGAGGCAAACACCATCTTTAACACCCTAGCATCTGACAGCATTTATCTCTGCCACGTGCGGGAGCACAGGGCGGGTTACAGGACGCACTCCGCGGCCTGGCAGTGCCCCGAACCTGCTCCCGCCGCTCCGGGTGCCGAGGGAGAGCGCGCGGATCGGCCTGGTTCACATCGGCTTGCCATCACCGCCGCCAACCGGTCAAAGCTCTCTTGTCTGCGTCTGGCGGTTTCTCCCGGACTCCACCGTTTCTGCGCTTCCGGAAACGCGCGCGTGTATCCCTGCGCCCGGAAGTGCGTCATCAGCCGGCGCCGGCGGCCGCATGCCGCGGAACGTAGCTGCGGTCGGGGAAGTTGGCTGCTGCTGCACGCTGGTAGGACAGTAGCCGGGGCTGGGACCGCTGCTCGGCGCCGCCATGCAGGTCTCCAGCCTCAACGAGGTGAAGATTTACAGCCTCAGCTGCGGCAAGTCCCTTCCCGAGGTGAGTCAGCCAGGCGTCCTCACCCTGCAGCTCTGGGGTCCTCCTCCTCACCCGGCTGCCGCCGCTCTCTCCGCCCTGACCTGTGTTAGCTGCGTCCCGACCGGTCCCCGGCCCGGGGAGGCCGGGAGGGTCGGCACTGGTAGACGAGGCCACTGCTGTCACCCTTCGGAGCTGGACCGAGTGGTGATCAATCAGGGTCACCGAACTTGGCCGGGACTTCTGTGAAGTTCTGTAGACAGGACTCGCGCTCCTCTGGGTTTCTGCGGGTTCACAGCCGCTGCCACTCCGAGGAGGAAAACGTGGGCAGATTGGTTGGCAGATCGCTCTTCCCTGGTGAGCACCCTCCCCATGCTAAAGCTCTTCCATCGTCTGTTTGTTGAATTCTTATCATATGTCAGGTCCTAGGGACAGGGAAGTGGGCTAGAGCGATGCAGACTCCGCACCGGGGAATCTGTGGTGTAGAGGATAGTATTAAGGGACTAGGACTAGGACGGGTCAGTAATTCTCGTCCAGTCTTCCTGTGTTTAAAACTTCCAGCTGTGATCCAGCAAGATGAAGGTGACTTACCTAGAGTCACACTCTAGGCTTTGAAGCTTGGCTTTATCTGTCTTTTTCTTTTTTAATTGCCAGAGAGAGTGCTTGCAGGAGGCAGGGGCAGAGCGATCCAGCCCCCCAGTAGGGCGTGATCACACCGCAGTCACTTTTCTTCCATTTCTTCATCCTGTCAGGATTTGTGTCCTACGCCCAGCATGTTTTTCACGCCACCAGAGAACAATTGTGGCCATGTGAGCTCCAGCTGCCAGTGCACAGCCTTAACCTGTGTGCTGTGAGTGCCCTTTTTATTTCTCATAAGTGATGATCAAGCCTCTGTCCAAACTTCCCATTTTGAGCCTATTTGTTAGGCATTAGTTTTAAAACATGGCACTTTATAGGATGCTATGTTAGTCCAAGTTGGGCCCTTGGAAAATAGAGGAAATGGAATTTTGTGTGTCCCCCAACCCCTAAAATTTGAGAGCTAGTGATTACATTCTTTTTAAAATTTTTAATTAAAAACCGTATTTAAAAAATTTGCCCCAGGGTGTGTGTGCTCGCTGGGGAGAAAGGGAGAGAGAGAAAGAGAGAGAAAGAGAGAAAAAGAGAGAAAGGAAGGAAAGAAAGAGAGAGAGAAAGAAAGTGAGAAAGCCCTCCTCCAGGGAATATGGCCACACGACAATCCCCTCCTGTCTATTCTGGGATTTGGGGCATGCATGCACACACACCCAGAATGTTTTTCATGCCACTGGATTCGGGACTCTAACCACCCAATCAAGCAGGTGGGATCCAGCCACCTTAACCGCCATGCCACTAACTGGCACCAAGCTGGTGACTGCCCTTCCTTTCATCTCAGAACTCAAGCTTAAATAGTTTCTTATCTTCCAGTTGTTCTTCACATTAACATGCCATTTCTCATTTTGTTCCTTTACTCTGCGCATTTATTGAGAAGTTACTATGTACAGGCAGCCCTGTCTGAAATGTTGAGATTCATGTGAGCGTGTCAGATAAGGTCCCTTGCTGGGGACAGTGACTATAAACAAGTGAGCAAATGAGAAGACCTTTCCAGATAATAAGTGGTTTTTTTTTTTTTTTTTTTTTTTTTTGAGAGATTTTCACTGTAGGGCACGTGCGCTCTCCAGACAGACAGAGAGAGACATAGAGACAGAAAGCGAGAAATCACCCCCCAGGGGGGATGGTCACGCCGCAATCCCTTCTCCTCCATTCTCCTCTCGGGATCTTGGGCACGCACGCACACGCGCCCGGCGTGAGATTTAAGCCACCGGGTCCGGGACACGAACCGCGGTCGACTACGTGGGAGTCCAGCGACATAGCCATTACGCTAACTGCTGGTTCCCCAGATAATAAGTGCTTTGAGTGACGCGTGGCTGTAAGAGAGCTGTTGCCGATAGTGTTTGAGAAGGTGTTTTGGGTAAAGCCTTTAGGGAAGACCCCTCTACAAGAGGTAACATTGGAGCAGGAACTTGGAGGATGAAAGGAGTCAGGCATCGGAAGGTACAGGGACAGAGTTTTCAGTACTGAAAACAAAGTGCCAGTGTCCCCTAATGGGAATTGGCATGGTGGGGGACCAGAGGAGACCAGTGGTGTGCTGTGGTGTGCAGAGTGAGAGACAGTGGGGTGGACAAGGCTGGAGAGGTAGGCCTTGTGGGCAGGGTACGAAGTTATAAGAAGTTAGGTCTTCGTTTTTCCCATAGTGTGTGCGGTCAGCAGAGAGCAGGAAAGGAAAAAGCATCCCCACCCCCATGGGGAGTAATCATGCTGCAGTACCTCCTCTGCATCTCGCCCTCTTGGGATTTGGGGCATGCATGTACATATGCCCAGTGCGTTTTTCAGGCTTCCGGGGCTAGGGTTTGAACTGCATGGTTGGCAGTGTAGAATCAGGCTCCCTTAACCACCATGCCACCTGCCACCCCCGCCACTTCCATTCATTAAAAAAAATTATTATTTAATTTTATTTATCATTATTATTATTAATTTTACAGGGCACGTGCAGAGAGATAGAGACAGAGGGAAAACAAGAAAGCAAGCCACCACGTCTGGGACTCCAGTCGTGGCTGGCCATGTGGGAGGCCAGCTCCTTAACCACCACGCCGGCCCCTCTCGTGGTTCTCCTATCAGAACATTGTGTTCAGCCTGTGCGCCACTCTCTGCCTGTCCAACGCCCTTTGTCTCCTACTCTCCTCCATTGTTAAAGTGTAAAAGAAAAAACTGTTTAACTTTACGCTTCATTTTTGTGCTGTGCTGACCCCTGGCCTTGGGCAGTGCCCTGCAGGGCTGCCCCTATACAGAAACTCGTGAATAAGCTTCCCTTCCTTCTTATCTTACTGCATGAGAGAATTATTTTTCCGCATGAAAATTGTGAGTTTATTAATCCTCTCATGAAAAGCCTGCGCAGGCACCGCAGGCAGTCCTCGCGGAAGCTCCGCTCCTCCGGCCTTTGGCCAGCACCAGGTTGAGTGGCCTTCGCAGCCCCCGCTGTCTTCCCTCTGTCCTCGGGCTCCTTTCCTGTGTGCTTGACGTCTTTTTCTTCTCGTAGAGGACACGTCTTGTGTGTCTATGTTTGGGATCATTTTTCTTCACATAATCCAAGGATCATGCCAAAGCCGGTTGTCATGCCACCACCAAAATGGGCCCGAACCCCACACAAAGATGCCATCTGGGGTGGTCCCGTACATCCCGCCTCGTTTTCCCGAGTTTCTGACTTAGGTGCTGTTGCCTTCGCGGGCGAAGGGCACCATGACCATTCGTTTCCTCTGAAGTAGTCGGATGGTCCTGAATTTCCTGGTCCGGATAGTGACCGTGTCATTCATGATGGCGGTGTGGCCTCAGACAGCCAGGGAAAAAGTGTCTTAGAGACTTTTTCACCTTTTCGGGTGCCAGACTCCCACCGAGGAGGCAGTCTCAGCCCTGTCCTCTTTGCCCTGCACTCATTTGCTCGGGACGGGTGAGACCAGGCGCTGTGTGCCTGTCCTCTTCCTTGAGCACAACTTGCTGAGAAGAGGAAATTGAATCCTGGGGACTTCAACAAGTTCGTGGAAAATGGAATTAAAGTATGAGTTCGTTTTGGTGCAGAAGATTCTTGAAATCTGTGCATCATATTTTTATAATATGTATTTTCTGTAAACTTTGATCACCCCCGTCCTATACCTTTGTTCTGCTTGCATTCGTTTGATGTATAAGAACATACCGAGGGGCCAGCAGGTGGCATGGTGGGTAAGGTGCTGGACTCCCATATGGCTGACCATGCTTCAAGTCCCGGACCTGGAGGTTTGCTTTCTCACTTTCTCTGTCTGTCTCTCTTTGATGAGCACATGTGTCCTTAAAAATAATAGCAATAATAAAAAAGAAAATAAGTTAAAAAATAAAATAATATATTGAGTGCCCAGAAATAAACCTCAGCATCAACTTTATTTTTTAAAAAATTATTTAACTTTGTTATTTTTATTTTAATTTCACCAGAGAGAGACAGAGAGAGAGAGAAAGGGAAAGTGAGAAAGCAAGCCACCAGTTCAGAGACTCAAACTGTGGTTGGCCACACGGGAGTCCAGTGTTACAACCACCACACCATCTGCCAGCCCCTTTCAACATCAACAGTAATCGAAACCTTACTGCTTAAAATGCTGTCAGAGCAAGGGTAATCACGAAGATGAGCATAAACCCGTAAATCAATGCCCTGCGTGCAGGGATGGGTGGGGGGAGCTCTGGCTCAGACTCACGCGTTCACGGTTCTGCACCTGCCTCAGGCAGAGCGCTGTGGCCTTGGGGGGTGAGTATCTGGGGCCGGACAGTTTGTTGTTGTGGGGGTTTGTCTTAGGTGCAGTGCGGTATTTGGCAGTGTCCCTTACCTCTACCCACAGGAGGCCTGTGTGACAACCAGATAGGGCTTCAGGAGTTGCCGAATGCCCTCGGGGGCGCTGCCCGGTCACAGTTGACACGTGCTGCACCACAGGCACCTGTTCACGCAGTGGACTGTTGCTGCATGCTAAACTGGGATACGTCGGTTACAGAACCCAGCCTGGTGTCAGTGGCTGTGACTGTATAAGAACTGTTTCTTTATTATCGACTGTTAGCCATTTGGCCAGTTATTCATCTCTGTGTGTGGTTTTTAGTTAATTATAGCTTTTATTTTTATTGGCTAGAGGGTGCATGTGCTCACCCGCGATGGAGAGACAGAGGAGAGAAATCGCCTCCCAGCAGGCTGTGGTCATGCCGCAGTCCCTTCTCTTCCATTTCTCCATCCTGCAGGGATTCGGGGCACACAGGCACAAGCGTCTGGGCCTGGAACTGCGTGGTCAGCCACGTGGGATTGGGCCTCCTTAACTACTAGACGATGGGGCCAGCCCTATCTGGTTTTATTCTTTGTAAAATGCATTATTTGTTTTTTTTTTTGGTTTGCTATATAGGGCACTTGCACTTGCCAGAGAGAGACAGAGAGGGGGAAAGTGAGAAATCACTCCCTGGGGGCATGGCTACACCACAGTCCTTCTTCTCTTGGGATTTTGGGCACAGGTGCCCTTGCATCCAGTGTGATTTTCAAGCTGCTGGGTCTGGGACTTGAACTGTGCGCAGTTGGTCATCTGGGATCCAGCCCTCCTAACCTCCACACTCCCTAAAAATATATATTTCTGCGGGAAAGCTTCTCCTTTTAATGTTTCACTTTTGATCATTTCACTGAAGTAGATTTTAAGTTTTTGTATTTATTAATTATAACCCATAATATTTGAGGCTTACTTCTTTCCCTTAGCTTGATTAGATGGATTAACTTTCTTTTGTGTAAAGCATAGTAGTATAAAAAAATCATTGTCTAATATGTGTAAATGTGTACAAGAAAAAATCAGAATATAAGTTAAAAGGGCTGGACTGAAGAATATTTTTACTTCCTTTGTTATGTATTCCTATATAAGCTGAATTTCTTAATATGCACGGTGCTCTTTTTGCCAGCAGATAAGCAGTTTCGTTCAATTTATTTTAAAATAAAATCTCTTTTTTTCTTTAAGTGGCTTTCTGACAGGAAGAAGAGAGCACTCCAGAAGAAAGATGTAGGTGAGTAGTGGGTTTTCCCACGTCAGCTATCTTAATGATGCACGTTGCAATGTGTGTATGTTTTTTATTTTTTTTCTTTTTTAAAATTTTTGCTGTAGGGCATGTGCATTTGCCTGACAGACATGAAGAGAGAGAGAGACAGAAAGAGGAAAAGTGAGACAGCACTGCTTCACCCCAGGGCACGCCGCAATCCCTTCTTTTCCTTTGGGACTTTAGGGCGTCACGCACACACATCTGGCGTATCCTTCAAGCTGCAGGGTCTGGGACGCAAACTGCGCAGCCACGTGGGATCCAGCCGCCCTAACCACCGCACCTGCTGGCCCTGCACTGTTTTTACTTACCTGTTATACATAAGTGAGGGTTTACAAAAGTGCAGTGGAATTAAGGTAGTGGACGGAAACGTTCTCGCCCATGTCCTTGTTAAGGAACCTGGTGGGTGTGGCATTTGATTTTACCTTCCTTCCAAGCTGATAGGTTAGCCCATTAGTGCTTTGTGGGTCGTAGCAGGAGACACAGACTCCTGGTCAGAGACGAGGACTTTCTTACTCCTAGCATGGCGCAGAGCCTGAGCATCGGCAGATTGGCGTCTGTTCCCGCTGGGGTCCCACGGTAACGCTCAGCTCCACCCGGATGGAAGCTCCACGCTCAGTGGGTTTGTGTTGCAGCTAAGGAACCCTGGGCATGGGAATTTTGCTGCTTTTATAGCAGGTGGGAAGCAAGCCTACCCTTCGTTCCGAGGGGCCATGTTATCGCTCACCCATCCAGGTTCCCAGCTGCATAGGACCCCTGAGAAGTGGCTCAGGAGGAGTGGCCAGGACTTGTAGAGCTGCCATACCCAGCAGGGTGTGTAGGGACACAGGCCCAAGGACCGTCTCTCCTAACAGTTCCAGGGTTGCTCTGTTCCCGGTGCATCAAAGTCTTTTTCTGCTAGTTAGATTTATTTGTCAGTTTTTGAGATAAAGAGATAATGACCATTTTCTTTTTGGACAAAATATTTTAAGAATTATTTTATTTAACTTTTATTTATTATTATTTTTTTAATCTGACCAGAGAGAGACAGAGGAGAGAGAGAAAGTGAGAAAGCAAGCCTCCAGGTCCGAGATTTGAACCTTAGTCGCCCATGTGAGAGTCCTGTGCTTTTCATCACCATGCCACCTGCTGGCCCCTGAACAAAACACTTGCAAATAGGTTGTATGAATATGAATGGAGAAAGATCATTGCAGAAGATTTGGGTTCTTGAACTTATGGCATCAGGGAACATAGGAATGTAAGATCAATTTATAACATGAATCATTTTGGTGAACAAATTTTCATTAAATGTTCTCCATTAGAACATGCCAAATGTGGAAGATTGATCTTCCCATTTATTCTGTTCAACTTATTCTTTCAAAACAAGCATCTTGAAAGTAAGCTTTATATTGGGACTAGCAGTTGGTGTAATGGCTATGTCGCTGGACTCCCATGTAGTCAACCGTGGTTCGAGTCCTGGAACCGGTGGCTTAAACTCATGCTGGCGCATGTGCGTGCGTGCCCAAGATCCTGAGAGGAGAATGGAGGAGAAGGGATTGCGGCGTGGCCATCCCCTCTCGGGGAGGGGGTGGTGGTGGTGGTGGTGGTTCTCATTTTCTGTCTCTCTGTCTTTCTGGCAAGTGCATGTGCCCTATAGCAAAAACCTCTCAAAAAAAAAAAAAAA